TAATACCAGCCCTGCTTCGTGGACTCCCTGAAACCTGTTCATGGCCCTCCGGGGGACCCCAGACCCCTGGTTGAGAACCACTGGCCTGGACAATGGGTGTTTCATAGAATCATAGAATATCAGGGTTGCAAGGGACCTCAGGAGGTCATCTAGTCCAACCCCCTGCTCAAAGCAGGACCAATCCCCAACTAAATCATCCCAGCCAGGGCTTTGTCAAGCCTGACCTTAAAAACTTCTAAGGAAGGAGATTCCACCACCTCCCTAGGTAGCGCATTCCAGTGCTTCACCACCGTCCTAGTGAAAAAGTTTTTCCTAATATCCAACTTAAACCTCCCTCACTGCAACTTGAGACCATTACTCCTTGTTCTGTCATCTGCTACCACTGAGAACAGTCTAGAGCCATCCTCTTTGGAACCCCATTTCAGGTAGTTGAAAGCAGCTATCAAATGCCCCCTCATTCTTCTCTTCTGCAGACTAAACAATCCCAGTTCCCTCAGCCTCTCCTCATAAGTCATGTGTTCCAGTCCCCTAATCATTTTTGTTGCCCTCCGCTAGACTCTTTCCAGTTTTTCCACATCCTTCTTGTAGTGTGGGGCCCAAAACTGGACACAGTACTCCAGATGAGGCCTCACTAATGTCGAATAGAGGGGAATGATCATGTCCTTCGATCTGCTGGCAATACCCCTACTTATACAGCCCAAAATGCCATTGGCCTTCTTGGCAACAAGGGCACACTGTTGACTCATATCTAGCTTCTTGTCCACTGTAACCCCTAGGTCCTTTTCTGCAGAACTGCTGCTGAGCCATTCGGTCCCTAGTCTGTAGCGGTGCATGGGATTCTTCCATCCTAAGTGCAGGACTCTGCACTTGTCCTTGTTGAACCTCATCAGATTTCTTTTGGCCCAATCCTCTAATTTGTCTAGGGCCCTCTATATCCTTTTGACTGTTCCTGATCACTTTCCCCTCCTCCAAGTGCTTCAGAATTGGTTCCTTGGGGACCTGCTCCATGATTTTTCATCCTGCTCTGGAGCCTAGATGCTCCTGCATTACAAATAACTTAGGGCAGAAGTTGTCAGAGCAGCTCCCAAGGAGAATGCAGATACCTTATAATATTTAAAGTGTGTGTAGGATGAAGAGCCGTCCATTACCATTCACTAACAGAGGAGGCCCAGCTGACAAGACTGTAAAATAAATGTTCCTTCTTTGCCCCCTTCCGCTGTAAACCAGCATATTAGAAGGGGCCCTCTAAGCCCTATCACAGGTGGGGGAGAGCAAGCATTGCTTGAACCTACCAGGTATCTGGGAGGTGGCAGTGTCTGCAAAGCAAGATTCAGCAAAGATTTTTACTGCTCAGCTTCCAAGGAAGCTAGAATGCAGAGGGAGGATGGAAGGGAACAGAGCGTTTTCCTTGATCTCAAGCACAGCGCAGTGCTCCTAGACACAACTGCTGCAGTTGCTGCTTAGGGGCATTACGTTCGTGGCTCCCGTTCCACACATTATCAGATCAATGTTCAGAAGCCCCTCCCTTGATTTGATTTTTGAGGGAGGGGAATTGAAAAATTGCAAATTTTATCTAAAAATGAAGTAGCTGTTAATTCTTATAAAAATATATCTGACTGGAGTTTGCAGTCCTTCGCTATTAATATTAAAGTCTGGTTCTGTTCTGGAAAGTAATTATAAGAATGGCACTCTGGGGTTCCATGTTTACTGTTTCTAAGAGACTTGTAGATCAAATGTGCTACTTTTAATACAGCTTTTCTAACCCAGCAGACTCAACCTCGCAACTTGAAATCAAGCTGGGTTCTCTGTTTCTAATCCTGGGTCATCATTGTCAGTAGTTAACAATTTTGCAGGCCAGATTCTGTCCTCGCTACCAGTTGTAATTTCCTAACCAATTAATAATGAAATAAAACCATACGGTTTCAAATATTTAATTAAAATAACCATTCTGCAAAACGCTGTTTGTGAATATCAATTTGATTGGATGATAAAAACAAGTTATACTTAGCCATGTTTACACACACTGTGCATTCCAGTGTGAATGCTAAGGTCGCAGGCTCAAAATGATGATGAAAGTGAGTTTTAAAGGCATATTTTCACCAGCACACTTTCACGCAAACAGTCACAAACCTGGCTGTAAATTATGCTCATCAAATCAGTGAACAGAATCTATATTGTGTGACCAGTCACAACTTGAATTTTTGAGTAGTGAGCCAAATAGTAAATAAAATGCATGAACAAGTTTGTTGAATAATTGTGAATAGAAAATTGCTGTTGCAGCCCAGGGTGGATTGATTTAAATCAAATCTTGTTTTACATTTGTACTTCATAGCTATTTTCAGAAATGTAACTATTTTCATTGGTTTATAACTATTCACACATATTGATTTGCAACTAAATATAGATCTTACACTAAATTTGGTACATCTTTTTGCTAACCAGGAGGATGCAAGCAATTATATAGCTTAATATTTTATTCAGATTCTTAACTTACACAATTTTATTGTGTTAAAAGATGGTGAATGACACATTTCTTATTTACTAGATAATGACTAAATTTTTTACTCATGATTTATGCCAAGCTGTATTTGGTAGAAACTGAAATTCAATCAAAATGCACAAAAACAGCATTTTAATATTTTTTATTAGTTAAGTAAAAGTGCCTTAAATCTGCTGGATACAGAAGGGGGAAAGTGTTTATCAAAACATATTTTGTGTTTAAAACTGATGTATTAAATAAAGAAAGTAAACTGATTTGTTTCTGGTCACCATGTCCTTCAAGATTTTAGAACTAGTAGATCTCATCCTCTCATATCTAGTTTTTATTCATAGATTAGAAAAGGAAAACAAACTTTCCTGCTTTCTCAGCTCTAAACTGCTTTCTGAACTTTAAATGAATTAATTATTAAACTGAAGTAGTTGAATAAACTGAAATGAAGAAAATATTCTTTCTGTGCCTGCAGAAGAGGCTACTGCTGGCACAGGCTTGTTGAGCATTTCGGCAAATTCTAGTTTCTGGTGCTTAGCTTTTACCAGTTCAGTGGTTTGACTTTCTTTGAAAATTTTGCCAGCAAACGTGTTCTGTTGAATATTTCTTTATTTAATTTTTGATTTTAATAGCTTATAATTGCCATAATTTCAAATGTAATTTTAAATTAGTTTTTAAAAAGAAAAATGTATTTTCTTTAAATTAAAAAATCCAATTTAAATTAGCAAAACTGATTTTAAATTAAAAGTATATTTTTTTTAAAATATCATTTATTTTTATTCCTGTTATGCAATCTTTCTTGAAAGAGAAAGAAGCAAAATTCATTCAGTAAGTTATGTGTTACAAATTATTCACTCAACTGTAATAACAATGATTACCTCAGCCTAGGGCATTTCCTGCAGAACTTTAAATGACCATCTAAGGTTAATGGTCCTCTGTTTTTCTTCAAGTTGTCATCTCTCCAAGCTGATCAGAAAAAGCAGGTTAAATTTGAATCCTAGCCTGAATATAGTGTATGTCACTGAGATATTTGCTACTTATTCTATACTGGTATGTGATTCATTTTAAAGTCAGTTTATTGCTCTTTGTATAATTTTGAAATGGAATAGATTTTAAATGTGGGTTATGATCACGAAATGCTTACACTGTTTGTCTTATTTGTTACCTAGAGAAACAAGGTGAATGAGGAAATTTATTCTATTGGACCAGCTTCTGTTGGTGAAGACACGCACTTTTGAGCTTATGCAGACCTTTTCTTTATTGGACCAGCAGACGTTAGTCCAATTAAAGAGAGTACCTCACGCACCTTGTCGCTTTAATATCTTGGAACGAACACGTCTAAAACAACACTGCATACAACAATGGAAGTTATTTGAGATCTAATAGTTAGGGACGGGGGAGGGAGGGGATGGTTGTTCCTGCTATTACTATTTTAGTATGAAAACAGTCTCTGTAGTTTACATGTGGTGACTGTATATTCCAAATGGAAAAAGAGATTTTGGCCAGATGTACAGAGTTTTTGTTCCGGTTTAACTTTATTGATTTGGAAACCAATATTGTTTCAACTGGTATCACCTCCTGGTATGACAGTTATAACTGGTATAAAGGTGCTTATACCTGTATAGCTTATACATACCTTTTTTGTACCAGTATAACTTCCACATTAGGAGCTTGCATTGACTTAGCTAGATCAGCTTTAAACCAATATAAATAAATCGGTACAAAAATTGTGTGGAGATGAGCCTTTATTTCATTAAGAAAATGAAAAGGTAGAATTTGCAGAATACAGCAAATTGCAACAGGGCTCTAAAATTGTGGGATCCCAAATCAAGCAAAGCCCCGATTTTCCTCCCTGAAAACTGTCCATGTAACATTTCAGACTTATGCAATATTTGATGCAGCTCTGTTCACAAAAGTGACCTTAGGTGAGTTTTAGTGACTAAATGTACGGACATGCGCACTCACTCTTTCTCTTTGAAAAAAATTCTAACACAGCATGAGGGATTTAGCTCAAACTTTACACCCCTCTTCCCCTCTCCCATCAAAAAAAATTTTCCTTAGACACCAAACCTAGAAAATTTCAGACCTAAAGGTTAATGTTGCGGGAAGATTAAGCACATGAGATTTGGGAGAGGGGGATGTTATAAAGGTGAACAAAAGTGCCTGTAGCTTGCTCTAAAGTTAATAGGCACCTGTTACAATCACATTAAATTTCTACTATGAAATCTCCTCACCCACTATTTGTATAATTTATTTAATTGTACATGGTTTAACAAAAGTGTCTTGAAGTTCCAATTTCTGTTATGTAGCTCTCCCTAGTAAGCAGTAGCATTCCTTAAAGGCCAGAATCTGGAGCCCTTACACTGAGTAGTAGTTACATGCAAAAATAGTCCTACTGAAGTCAAGGAGCTACTACTGTGAAGGCATTGAACTGCTCATGTGAATGTTGGTAGTTAATGGCTAAAATGTGGTTTGTAATTTGACCTTGATGTTCGCCTCTTTTCCTCTCCAGAATTGGAAGGCTTTTTGATGGCACGGAGCCTATTGTTTTGGACAGTCTCAAGCAGCACTATTTCATTGACAGAGATGGGCAAATGTTCAGATATATCTTGAATTTTCTACGAACATCAAAACTCCTAATTCCTGATGATTTCAAGGTGAGATTTTAAGTGACTTAAGTGTGTTTGAAATTATTCTGCAAATGTCTCCACTCCTCAGAGTGGGAGTGTAATTACACTACATTTGGGAGTGTAATTAAAAGTCTACGAGGCAGGAGTGGGTTTTGGAGCATTTGACAATGCTTTTAGTCACTTGGCAGAAGTAAGGTTTGTCTCACTAAAGTGACATCCGTTGGCCTTTTCTTGAATGGTATTAATGCTAAGTTTTGCCTTCCTCACCGTAACATAGTATAGCTTATGCATTAAACTATATGACCTCTGCAGAGGGTTCCCCATCAATTCTCCTTCTTCAATTAAAAGGACTCTGTCCTGTGATCACAGGTTGACACTGGAAGAATGATGTGTGAGTCCTGACAGCCAAAAGTAAATAACGTTAAAATGTGTTTCAGAGTAACAGCCGTGTTAGTCTGTATTCGCAAAAAGAAAAGGAGTACTTGTAGCACCTTAGAGACTAACCAATTTATTTGAGCATGAGCTTTCGTGAGCTACAGCTCACTTCATCAGATGTATACCGTGGAAACTGCAGCAGACTTTATATACACACAGAGATCATGAAACAATACCTCCTCCCACCCCACTGTCCTGCTGGTAATAGCTTATCTAAAGTGATCATCAGGTGGGCCATTTCCAGCACAAATCCAGGTTTTCTCACCCTCCACCCCCCCTACACAAATTCACTCTCCTGCTGGTGCTAGCCCATCCAAAGTGACAACTCTTTACATAATCAAGTCGGGCTATTTCCTGCATAAATCCAGGTTTTCTCACATCCCCCCCACCCCCATACACACACAAACTCACTCTCCTGCTGGTAATAGCTCATCTAAACTGACCACTCTCCAAGTTTAAATCCAAGTTAAACCAGAACATCTGGGGGGGGGGGGGTAGGAAAAAACAAGAGGAAACAGGCTACCTTGCATAATGACTTAGCCACTCCCAGTCTCTATTTAAGCCTAAATTAATAGTATCCAATTTGCAAATGAATTCCAATTCAGCAGTTTCTCGCTGGAGTCTGGATTTGAAGTTTTTTTGTTTTAAGATAGCGACCTTCATGTCTGTGATTGCGTGACCAGAGAGATTGAGGTGTTCTCCGACTGGTTTATGAATGTTATAATTCTTGACATCTGATTTGTGTCCATTTATTCTTTTACGTAGAGACTGTCCAGTTTGACCAATGTACATGGCAGAGGGGCATTGCTGGCACATGATGGCATATATCACATTGGTGGATGTGCAGGTGAACGAGCCTCTGATAGTGTGGCTGATGTTATTAGGCCCTGTGATGATGTCCCCTGAATAGATATGTGGGCACAATTGGCAACGGGCTTTGTTGCAAGGATAAGTTCCTGGGTTAGTGGTTCTGTTGTGTGGTATGTGGTTGTTGGTGAGTATTTGCTTCAGGTTGCGGGGCTGTCTGTAGGCAAGGACTGGCCTGTCTCCCAAGACTTGTGAGAGTGTTGGGTCATCCTTTAGGATAGGTTGTAGATCCTTAATAATGCGTTGGAGGGGTTTTAGTTGGGGGCTGAAGGTGACGGCTAGTGGCGTTCTGTTATTTTCTTTGTTAGGCCTGTCCTGTAGTAGGTAACTTCTGGGAACTCTTCTGGCTCTATCAATCTGTTTCTTTACTTCTGCAGGTGGGTATTGTAGTTGTAAGAAAGCTTGACAGAGATCTTGTAGGTGTTTGTCTCTGTCTGAGGGGTTGGAGCAAATGCGGTTGTATCGCAGAGCTTGGCTGTAGACGATAGATCGTGTGGTGTGGTCAGGGTGAAAGCTGGAGGCATGCAGGTAGGAATAGCGGTCAGTAGGTTTCCGGTATAGGGTGGTGTTTATGTGGCCATTGTTTATTAGCACTGTAGTGTCCAGGAAGTGGATCTCTTGTGTGGACTGGACCAGGCTGAGGTTGGTGGTGGGATGGAAATTTATGCAGGAAATAGCCCGACTTGATTATGTAAAGAGTTGTCACTTTGGATGGGCTAGCACCAGCAGGAGAGTGAATTTGTGTGGGGGGGTGGAGGGTGAGAAAACCTGGATTTGTGCTGGAAATGGCCCACCTGATGATCACTTTAGATAAGCTATTACCAGCAGGACAGTGGGGTGGGAGGAGGTATTGTTTCATGATCTCTGTGTGTATATAAAGTCTGCTGCAGTTTCCACGGTATACATCTGATGAAGTGAGCTGTAGCTCACGAAAGCTCATGCTCAAATAAATTGGTTAGTCTCTAAGGTGCTACAAGTACTCCTTTTCTTTTTGTTAAAATGTGTATAATGGGTGAACTGCAGAGTTTCATTTTCCCTTAACCTCTGAGAGAGACACGTGTGACTCGTTCTTAGCATCTTTCTGAGAAATCAAGGGTGAGTTCTTGCAACCCCATTATCTAAGCCAGATATTTATCAGTCTGGTCTAAGCTTTTTTTTTTTTTGAGAGAGAGAGAGAGAGAGAGAGAGTGAGTTCTTTTAATGAAAATTGTGAAAATCTTAGAACTTCCTGTGTGGGGGGAGGGTCATCAGTGAAATGCAAACTAGAGGCCACAGATCGGCTCAGAAGGGATCTTTATCATCCTTTCTCCCTGTGAATGTACATCTGAGTATGCATTGTGGATGGGATATTGTGGATGGGGACATTAGGATGGGATAGGAAAGATGACATGGAAGGCAGTTTAGAATGTTGTATAACTTTTTGTTCATCTTTAAATGCATGTAACATGTTGAGCTCTTTTGAAAATCTGGCCCTAATTGTTTAAGTAGCAGGAAAATTAATTTGCCTGGCTGATGAACTGAACATTAGTTTCAGTTTAAGAGCTGTATTGCAGGAACCTTTTGAATAATCTCTGATATCAACACGCTTATCCTTTTTTATACATATCTAGTATAGACCCGCCTAAGTAACATAGGTATCTAAAGGCTGCCTTCTTCATAACATTAATAGTGCACTCTTGCAGAGTAGTTTAATACATAATTATATTATAACTCTGCTGAAAATGAAAAAAAAACGCTCTTGACAGCACGTTCACTGTGGTGTTCAGCAGGTCCCTTCTAGTCACGTTTTGAGTCTTCTACAAAGACGCATGTTTAAAGCAAATAGCTCTCCCTCTTCAGGACAGATGCTTGGGTTAGTTGATGACTCTCATTTAATTATAAATGCAGATGGACAATTATCCATTTATCATGTGCCTATTAAGCATTGTCTGTTGCTCAATTTCAGTGCAATATTGACCTTGTTACTACTGCTCCTTTGTTGTTATTACATTCCTCTACCTTCCCTGATTCTCACATTGGTTTTCTTCACCCAGACACTTTTTTCCCAAATACATGCTTTAAACTAAAAAAGATACAGCAACAACAAAATAGAAATATAAAATTTGGAAGCAAGCAACCTAAGAGCATCAGGTCTATTTGCAATGCTTCAAAATGCATTTTCTATTATGTTTGAGGCAACATAGCAAAAACAATACTGTTGACAAAATGGGATATATTCAAAATATTTAACTTTTAAACTGCAGTAATATATGCAAATCACTATGCAAATATCTGAATCCTTTTACTTTTAAAAATGTTGCCGTCTTCCTCATTTACATGCTTATACCTGTGCCTGCTAGTATTGCTGTAAGACATGATGGATCCTAATGATGGATTTTCTGAATCCTGATTTAGTTCTGTTCCATCTGTTCAGGGAGGTTGTCATTTTATGACATCACTATGGGGATAAAAATTTAGAGAAAGGTGGATTGCGACAATCTGATGTGCTCCATAATACACACTTCTTTAAAAAAAAAAAAAAAAAAGGCAGTAAAAAACATTTTTCTACGTATTATTTCAGTCAGTAGATTTTAAGAGACCGTTTTTGCTTGTTCCTTAACTGTGCATATAGTAACTATGAAACGTGTAGAAGTGGTTTCAACTCTCGATCTATCCTAGCCTCTTTGCCAAAATAACCGTACAAATAAGCAGTTACTGTATATTCACAATGCATCTTATTTAGTTGTGCACAGTAAAATATATATCTTTCAGGACTACAGTTTGCTATATGAAGAGGCAAAGTATTTTCAGCTCCAGCCCATGCTAGGTGAAATGGAAAGATGGAAACAAGATCGGGAGACTGGCCGTTTTTCAAGGTCCTGTGAGTGCTTGGTGGTGCGTGTTGCTCCAGATCTTGGAGAGAGGATTACGCTGAGTGGCGATAAATCTTTGATAGAAGAAGTTTTTCCAGAAATTGGCGACGTGATGTGTAATTCTGTCAATGCTGGCTGGAATCACGACTCCACCCATGTCATCAGGTTTCCATTGAATGGATACTGTCACCTCAACTCAGTTCAGGTACGAAGTCATGAGTGTATCATTTTAAAAGTAGACCAATGATTGATTTTGTGCCAATGGACTGACTCTCTTTACCTTAACTCCAGAAGGTTTCAGTGGGCAAAAGCAACTGGAGACTTTGAGGTGGCTAGTAAGAATAGGTTTAGTTCCACAGGTTAGGGCTGACTTCCTTAACTTATTTCACATGTATATTTCCTAAACATCCTTGCAAAAGAACAAACATTGCTGAAACAAATTACTTTGAAAACCATGCAACTTCCCCAGTGTTAGTCAAGTGTTTTGTGTTTGATCAGGAGCACCCTGGTGCATGTGTTGTGTTGCCATTTATGTTTTGTGTTGGATGTGAGATCTATTCTTTCTTCCTGTTCTATGAGGAAACATCAGTGAGGACATGTGTCTGCTTCTGACAAAGTGGGGCATATTTATTTCAGGGTCCATGGAAACATGCTGATTTCTTCCTGTTGTTCTTGGATATTTTTTCCATTTTATTATGAAATAATGAGAAGCAATAGTACATAAAGTGAGTCGCCTTGGTGTAAAATAAATCTGTCCTGAAATGGCTGAGGAACCCTGGGAGATAAATGTTAGCAAATCTAGAGTAAGTTTGTAATAAACTAGTCACTTGCAGTGTTCTCTCCCTCATCCCCTGGATTGGTGACAGTAAGGAATTTTCTTCTTTTAGCAACTGCACCATATTCAACAAGTGTTTGTAGGTCAAGTATCTTTCAGTTCTGGAATTTTCATCAATACCTTTGTTGTTGTTTTTATTTAGATGCACCTGTGCAATGCTTTACACAGAGATACTTGTATCTGCAAAAAATTCTAAATTAGACCTATACATTTTCCTCTCCCACTCACCCATCACTATGTTACATATGTAACACTCAGTGACCAGGTCAGATGAGGTCAGTCCTTTTAAAGACAGACTAGGAATAATTTTTCAGAAGTAATTCTTCTTCTTTAAGTATATGTCCCTATGGGTGCTCCACTGTAAGATGTGCGTGCGCCCATGCACTTTCAACCAGAGATTTGAATCAGCAATGTTCTATGGCTCCATGCCTGCACACTACACAATCTTGTGCTCCAGAATAATGGTATATAGGGAGGAGCAGACCCACCACCACTCCAGTTCCTTCCAAAATGCCAGCCACTTGAGTTGGAACAACTGAGGTGTCCACTGCTTCCTGGAAGCTATTTCTTTTGTTTTATTTACTCAATATTTGTTTTGGTTTTGTTTCAATATTTGCTTTCCTTTTTAAATTTTGCATAAATTTGTGTTTATTTGTGACCGCCTCCACCCTGGGTTCCTTGGCACTGATTCCTTGGCCTTCCTCATTGGCTTAACTTCTGGGGTATGCCAGTGGCTCCAGGAGTCAAATCCTGCCAGACCTACAATAGAATTTTCACCAGACTGACAGGCATTCTAGCTGTCTCTGGTGTCTCAAAAACTCTCACATCCCGTCTAAGTGCAAAGATGCACAGAGATTAAAAGCATGTTTCACAAAGAAAGGAAGGTAAGATTGAAGCTTCTCCTCATGGCACACTCCTTAAGGTCTGTAGGGTCTGAGTCCTTCCTCCACTCCCCGCAATGCTTCGGGAGTGACTGAAGTTGCTTCAGAGATGAAGCACCCTAAGAAAAGAGAGCCTTTCTTCTGAGAGAACCTCCAGAAAAAGGGGTAAGTCACCTCCTTAGAATGGATCCCAGGGAGACCTCATGTCCCATAATGAGTACCTGCAAGGCTCGAACAGACTGACACTGAGGTCTCGGTACCACCTAAGCAGAGGTCCTGTTCAGATTAGCCTACCAGCAAACAGCACTGATAAGCACTTTCCCCAGCACCATCTTGACATCGGGACTCATCTAAATCCAAAGACTCAAGAAAATCTGAGATGCTGGTACTAAAGCCTTCCAAGAAGTCAGATAGAACCCTTTCAAGCCTCTGCTCCCTCTCCAGTACCATTAACTTTGGGTGGCATGCACTTGGAGCATAGAGCTAATATTTCAGTGGCCACTCTACCACCGACGTCAACAGCCCCCACTTCTCTTTAGCAGCTAGAACTTCGGTACCACTCCCAGTTCCAACTGCCCATTGCCATAGGCCTCTGGCACCTTAGCAATTCTTTTTGGAGGAGGATCTGCTCATCTCAGAGGAACTGAAGTCTCTACCGCTTAAGGGGCACTGAGAGAAGTTACCTGCCAATACAGATATGTCCACTGGTTATCTCCTTCTCTCATCTCACGCTAGGAGCCGGGCTCCCAGTACTCACCCATCCTCCAGTGCCTTCATAGCCCCCAGCACGGTCTCTGGCAACAACACCATGAGCTTCTGCTTTGGACATGGGACGCTACCTCAGACTCTGAAACGTCTGGGCAGGGCTCTTCCTTGCTGTACCATCTTACACTGCTTGCGGTGTACCCTAGCGAGAAATCACCAGAACCCAGAAGGCACTCTGGGCATTTTGAACACGAATATTCCTGGGGACTCTCCCCTTACCCACCTTATTGGAATCCCTGGACGTCTTAAGGGCACCAATTCTGTAGGGTTCCTGTCTGGAAAAAGCCGTGTTTTGACTTTCCACAGGGGCTGCAACGACCTTTGGCATGGCAGCAATAGTCTCCTGTACCATATTTCTCATAAATATTGGAGGACATTCAGGAGCTACTTGCAGAAGAGGAGCTACTTCCTCACACAAGTCCTTCTCCTCCCGCCCCCCCCCCCCCGCCCGACAGTGTGGCGATGCTGCCGCCGCCACCACCCTCCTATGCAGAAAATTTTATGGTATTCCAGGACCTAATGACACAACCTGCAAAATCTGTTCAAATCTCCTCAGAGGAGGTACAAGTATCTCAGCCCTCTCTGGATATTCTATGTGTCCCCCATCCCCCACCCGCAAGTAAGATAACTCTGCCTATTAATGAGGTGCTCTTGCCTCTAGCCTGGCAGATCCCTGCCACTCTTGCATGTACCTTCAAATGGACAGACAAAAAATATTCCGTATGAGTGAAAGGGCTGGAGTATTTCTTCCCTCACCCCACCCCCCAGCTCCGTTGTGGTGGACGCAGCCAACAAGAAAAACCACCAAACTCACTCAAGATTAACACCCTCTGAAAAAGAGGCTCAATACCTAGACCTCCCCAGCAGGAAGAGTCACTCGTCCGCTGCTCTTCAATTTTAAGTAACAAATTGTCATGCCCTGATGCCAAAATATGATTTCATAGAATCATAGAATATCAGGGTTGGAAGGAGCTTCAGGAGATCATCTAGTCCAATCCCCGGCTCAAAGCAGGACCAATCCCCAACTAAATCATCCCAGCCAGGGCTTTATCAAGCCTGACCTTAAAAACCTCAAAGGAAGGAGATTCTACCACCTCCCTAGGTAACGCATTCCAGTGCTTCACCACCCTCCTAGTGAAAAAGTTTTTCCTAATATCCAACCTAAACCTCCCCCACTGCAACTTGAGACCATTACTCCTCATTCTGTTATCTGCTACCACTGAAAGCGGTCTAGATCCATCCTCTTTGGAACCCCCTTTCAGGTAGTTGAAAGCAGCTATCAAATCTCTCCCCACCCCATTCTTCTCTTCCACAGACTAAAGAATCCCAGTTCCCTCAGCCTCTCCTCATAAGTCATGTGTTCCAGTCCCCTAATCATTTTCGTTGCCTTCCGCTGGACTCTTTCCAATTTTTCCACATCCTTCTTGTAGTGTGGGGCCCAAAACTGGACGCAGTACTCCAGATGAGGCCTCACCACTGTCGAATAGAGGGGAATGATCACGTCCCTTGATCTGCTGGCAGTGCCCCTACTTATACAGCCCAAATTCCATTGGCTTTCTTGGCAACAAGGGCACACTGTTGACTCATATCCAGCTTCTCATCCACTGGAACCCCTAAAATAAAATAGGTCATTCTCTGCAGAACTGCTGCCTAGCCATTCGGTCCCTAGTCTGTAGCAGTGCATGGCATTCTTCCATCCTAAGTGCAGGACTCTGCATTTGTCCTTGTTGAACCTCATCAGATTTCTTTTGGCCCAATCCTCTAATTTGTCTAGATCCCTCTTATTCTATCCCTACCTTCCAGTGCATCTACCACTCCTCCCAGTTTAGTGTCATCTGCAAACTTGCTGAGGCTGCAACCCACTCCATCCTCCTGATCATTAAGGAAGATATTGAACAAAACTGACCCTTGGGGCACTCCGCTTGATACCGGCTGCCAACTAGACATGGAGCCATTGATCACTACCCATTGAGCCCGACAATCTAGCCAGCTTTCTATCCACCTTATAGTCCATTCATCCAGCACATACTACTTTAACTTGCTGACAAGAATACTGTGGGAGACGGTGTCATAAGCTTTGCTAAAGTCAAGGAATAACACGTCCACTGCTTTCCCCTCATCCACAGAGCCAGTTATCTCGTCATAGAAGGCAATTAGATTAGTCAGGCATGACTTGCCCTTGGTGAATCCATGCTGACTGTTCCTGATCACTTTCCTCTCCTCCAAGTGCTTCAGAATTGATTCCTTGAGGACCTGCTCCATGATTTTTCCAGGGGCGGAGGTGTGGCTGACTGGCCTGTAGTTCCCCGGATCCTCCTCCTTCCCTTTTTTAAATATGGGCCCTACATTAGCCTTTTCCAGTCGTCCGGGACCTCCCCCGATCGCCATGAGTTTTCAAAGATAATGGCCAATGGCTCTGCAGTCACATCCGCCAACTTCTTTAGCACTCTCAGATGCAGCGCATCCAGCCCCATGGACTTGTGCTCATCCAGCTTTTCTAAATAGTCCCAAATCGCTTCTTTCCCCACGGAGAGGGCTGGTCGCCTCCTTCCCATGCTGTGCTGCCCAGTGCAGTAGTCTAGGAGCTGACCTTGTTCGTGAAGACAGAAGCAAAAAAAGCATTGAATACATTAGCTTTTTCCACATCCTCTGTCACTAGGTTGCCTCCCTCATTCAGTAAGGGGCCCACGCTTTCCTTGACTTTCTTCTTGTTTGCTAACGTACCTGAAGAAACCCTTCTTGTTACTCTTAACATCTCTTGCTAGCTGCAACTCCAAGTGTGATTTGGCCTTCCTGATTTCACTCCTGCATGCCTGAGCAATATTTTTATACTCCTCTCTGGTCATTTGTCCAATCTTCCACTTCTTGTAAGCTTCTTTTTTGTATTTAAGATCAGCAAGGATTTCACTGTTAAGCCAAGCTGGTCGCCTGCCATATTTACTATTCTTTCTACACATCGGGATGGTTTGTCCCTGTAACCTCAATAAGGATTCTTTAAAATACAGCCATCTCTCCTGGACTCCTTTCCCTCTCATGTTATTCTCCCAGGGGATCCTGTCCATCAGTTCCCTGAGGGAGTCAAAGTCTGCTTTTCTGAAGTCCAGTGTCCGTATTCTGCTGCTCTCCTTCCTTCCTTCCTTGTGTCAGGATCCTGAACTCGACCATCTCCTGGTTACTGCCTCCCAGGATCCCCTCCACTTTTGCTTCCCCTATTAATTCTTCCCAGTTTGTGAGCAGCAGATCAAGAAGAGCTCTGTCCCTAGTTGGTTCGTCCAGCACTTGCACCAGGAAATTGTCCCCTATACCTCCCCAAAACTTCCTGGATTGTCTGTGCACTGCTGTATTGTTCTCCCAGCAGATATCAGGGTGATTGAAGTCTCCCATGAAAACCATGGCCTGTGATCTAGTAACTTCCGTTAGGTGCGGGAAGAAATCCTCGTCCACCTCATCCCCCTGGTCCGGTGGTCTATAGCAGACTCCCACCACGACATCACCCTTGTTGCTCACACTTCTAAACTTATTTCAGAGACTCTCAGGTTTTTCTGCAATTTCATACCGGAGCATACTTCAACAACTGTTCAAAATTTACTCATTTTATTGATCACTTGCCACAGGACAAGAGGGAGCAGTAACAAGCCCTCATTTCCAAAGTCCACTAATCACCAGAGTTTCCTTGCAGACCGCCCTCAATGCTGCTGACATAGCCTCATGATCTCTGTCCACTACTGTGGTGACTGATAAGCATCCTGGCTCCAGTCTTCCAACCTTTCTAGGGAGATGCAAAACATGGTGAAAGACTTCCTCTTAGAAGGGCCTAAGCTGTTCAGTGGTGATACTGTTGCCTCCCGCCACTCCTTCAAGGATTCAAGGGCAACCTTAAGGTCACTTGGCATTTATATACGTGACAGGACAACGATTCCAACCATTCCAGTACCCACCCTATCACACCTATAAGGTCCAAACCTCATAAGAGAGAACCACCCCTGACAGCAACCCCCCTACCTGGGCTTCCTTCTAAATAACTGTTTTGACAGCTGGGTCAGGGGACATGAGCAATCCCCTCTGGATCTGCTCTGTGAACCCAACTTCCATCCTCCCTTTAGGAACCGCCTATCCCAATTTCTACCTACTTGACAATTTATCACCACAGACAAGTGGATTCTGAAGGTGGTTTGGATGGGATATTCTATTCATTTCCATTCTGTCCCCCCTTCCACTCCTTTTTCAGGAACCCATCTCAGCCTGTCCTGCATCTGGGAGTAATAGAGCCGGTTACCCTAGAATTTGTGGGAGAAGGTTTTTATTCTAAATATTTCCTGGTTTCCAAAAGAAATGGCAGCTGGAGGACAATTGAAGACCTCAAGAAACTGAACACCTACATTCTTTTCCAGCACTTGAGGATGGTGACTCTGGCTACCATAATCCCATCCTTGAATCTGGGGGGTTGGTTTATTACCCTTGACATTCAAGACATGTATTTTCACATTGCTATGCACCCTTCCCAAAAACGCTTTCTACATTACATCGACAGCTCAGAACACTATCAATACCATGTCCTTCCCTTCTAACTCTCCATTGCCCCATGGGTCTTCATGAAGATTCTCTCAGTACTATTGGCTTCCCAAGGGGATGTTCAGCTCTGGAGGTCATGCTTCACCTCCCGCCCTCCTTCCCTTCATCTGCAGAGTCTCCGACTCTGTAGTTGAGAAGGAACCATAGCAACAGTGGGTTCAATCCTCCTTATATACCTTCACTCTGGAGCACAAGGACACGGACACTGTCGATTCAAATCTCTGATTGGTAGCGCATGGGCCCGCACATTCTATGGTGGAGCACCCATAGGGACAAAACAAAGTGAAGGACTCAAGTTACTGAAAGGTAAGTAACCTCTCTTTTTTTTTTTTTTTAAATGCATTAGAAAGTTGTGGGTGGGGGGGAATGCAATGGTATCTAAAGGAAAGCTACTAATTAAGACATTCTAGCAGAGTCTGTTAGCAGAGCTGTGCATTCTTTGTTCTTCACCTGGATCACAGTTTATACAAGGTCGCAATCTAGCTACTGCAAGTTGATCATCCTTCACCAGCAGTAGCAGTCTTGGTTTTTTGTTGTTTATTTTACATTTATTTTCTCTCTTTGCAGGTACTTGAGAGGTTGCAGCAAAGAGGCTTTGAGATTGTTGGCTCATGTGGAGGAGGGGTGGACTCTTCCCAATTCAGTGAATACGTACTGAGGCGAGAACTCAGAAGGACATCTCGTGCACCCTCCGTCATTCGAATAAAGCAAGAGCCTCTGGACTAAATGGACATGTTTCTTTATGCAAAAAAGGGACGTTACATGTGCAGTTTGGACACCAAACAAGTCCTGGAACTAAAATTGAATAAAGACGCCTTTGTATGAAATATAGAGACCACACCTGAATTAATATGGGAGCATTTTGAATCGTAATAATAATAACCTCAAGGTGTAATTATATGTCAAAAGATAGGAAATGCAAACAAAGGAAGGGGGGGAAATGGGAACGTAGGGTTGGTGCTGTGATAGCCATTAAGTGTCCTAGGCCTTCTTTAGGCCCACTTAACGGTAAACAAGCCATTATCATCAGAGGGGAGACAGAGTTCTCCTATACATTTTCCATTACCAGAGTCCATCCACTTTCCCATGTGTATGTCTTGATTCAAGTTTATTTGCATATGGAGGTTTGTGTCGGTGTCTTTTTAGAGGTAACCAGGCAGGAGGACTTCAGGAAACATCCATCCATTGCAGTGAAAGATAGTTGACTGAGATTTTAAACATAGTCTGTACAGATGTCAAACACTTTTGTCTGCCCTCACAGATGTGAAAAGTTACTCTTTTTTTGTTTTAAATGAGTTGAGTTTTTTGTTTTTGCAATGGGACCAGAATTAATACTTGGTAGGGTTGCTCTAGTTTGAATCAGCTGCTTTCCTACAATTTTTTAAATTGTATAATGACAGGATACAATAAACTCTGTTTAAAATAATGAGGGCGTGGATTAAACCAACAAAAGCAAAAGAAATTTAATTAAAATAATCAGTCAGTAGCTCACTCTGTTATGCTTCCCCTAGTCCTATTCGGGTTGCAGAATAGCAAGTTATCTTGCATACAGAGAGCAAACTGCAATTCCCATGCTGGGTAGAGTGAGTTACAGGAAATAGATGCTCTCATTGGCCTATATTAGAAAACCTGTCTGGTGCACCCTATATTGCTGGTTTACATTCAACACTAGTTTTTTAAGCTTTGTCTGAGTTTGAAAAGAGGCTATTGTGGTGATGGGACCATTTTCAATACTGGTAAAACTTAAAATAATAATAATAAAAGTTTGGCCCAGAGAAATCAGTCATGAAAATAATGCCAGGTAAATGTTCTGAAACCTATAACTAATAATAGTCACATCATTCCTTTTTTAAACATGGAGTTGGCAGCTGTAACTCTGAATTACCTTAATGACTGTAAGTCAGAATGTTTGTTTTTAATGTTGTTAATTTCCCTCATTTAGGGCTAATAAGCTTCTGCCTGGAAGTGAGACCCTTTGGCTACACCATTGACCTTATTATTCTTATTACTAGGCAGTAACTTTGTACACAGTTATCCTGCAAGTTATTCTTATTGTGCAACATCTCATTGAAATCAATTGTGCACGTGCCCAGTTGATGTCAGTTAGACTTTGCAAAGTAAACATAATGCGTAAATGACACTACTGCACAAACTGTTCATGGGTTGATGATTTTATCACATAAGAGGCACCAGCAACCACATTATCTTTCGTCCAAAATATTTCTTTATGCAATATTACACTATATGACTGTGTATTACTATGGAAAATCCTATTGAATCAATGGTGCAGGCATTCCATTCATTTCAGTGAGACCTTGCTATTTATTTAAAAAAACATTGTGAAAAGTAAATACTCCATGTAACAAGGTTTTTAATATAGTTCTGATAACTGAAAAAAGTAAACCATTTTTTCTGTTTTTTATTAACATTTAGGAGAGGGAGGGATATTTAATATTTTCTTGGCAGTGCATCCCATTGTGATTTGAAATGAGCAGGTTATGGAACCACAGCGGGGTGGGGGGAAGAGGAACTCCAGAAATCTAAGTTGGGTAGACAGTTATAAGGTTTTAGTTTCCTGCTGATCTGTAGGTATACACTTAGGAAAAGCTAAAATAGCTGCAAAACAATGCTTGTTTTTGAGTAATAGTAAGTACTCCTCTTACAAAATAAATAAATGCTTGTACTCCCCCCCCCGCCCCCCCCGAAGTTGGTTGTTAGTTTGCACAGAGGTGGAAAAGGAAACAGCTGAATCCATGGGAAATAAATATTGTAACCAATCTTTAAACTGAACATAATTGGAGATGGTCGAATAACAGTTGTGACTTTGAAAAACAACAACCCACAGCCCAGGAATTGATATTTGCATTGGTGCAAAGTAGTCTGAAATGGTTGCAACTGAATCTGAATCTGAAAAACTTGAATATACATTATGGAAACTCTGCCAGGCTGTCTGAGTGTAGTGTAGCTACTGGGACCTTGACTTATTACAATGCACCTGTCTGTCCTCTGGTCTGTGTAAGCACAGAGATCATTGGGGTGGATGGGAAACAGGCATCAAAAGAATTCACTTTATCTTTCCTCTTAAATTCTACCACAAAACATTTTTGTTGCTGTTTTTTCAAGTTTCTGGGTTTTGTTCAGATGGCAGTTTTGTGGCTCTTTATACAACATACCTGTTCAGCTCCCTGAAGCCGGAGAAACTTCCTGTTCTTTCCAAATCCCTGAATGGCCAGATATGCTTTCACTGAATGTTCATTCATTAGGAAATGAGTCATAAATCATTCGGAGACCCTGAATGTAAATGTCACTGTAATTATGTTGTAGTTATGGAGTAAGAGGTCACAGACAAAGTAATGACTAATGAAAAGTAATAAGATGCAGGAATAAACAAAACATAGATTTTTAGAGAGGAAACAGATTAGTTTTGTGCACATGAAGGTCACGCTTGTAACAATGTGTCTTTAAAATGTTGCTTAGAAAATCTGATCAGTAGACACGAGCAAAATATCCAGTAAGAGAAACAGAAAGGATGAGTATAAGGACAGCTCATTTCTGGAGGCTAATAATTTTTACTTGCACAATAGTTTTATTTATCTATTTTTTTAGTATAACTGTATTTTATGCCATCAGTGGGTGTTTTATTTAGCTATACCAAGTGGAAAAATGGCAATGAATGCCAACTCTACATGTCTGGCAGGTTGATTAAGCAACTATCAAAGGGACTGCTGTGCATGTACTCTGAAAATGCCACGTGACACACCCTTCCTTGAAATAAAATTTTGGAGGAGGAAAAACTCTGACTTCCAAAGAACTGTGGTAGCATTGTTGCTTTTTGAAAAGTTAACACTGGATTTTTACAAGTAGCTCTCAAAGGTTTCACTTCTGAAATCCAGTACAGTTCTTTCCCAAATTCAACCTTAATATACACTAGGTAATGCAAGTCTTTATATATAGTGACTCTTGAAACTCCCAGATCTGATGAGTCCCTAAACTGAACTAATCAATCCTTTCTCCCTTTGATCAGGTGGGAAAAAATTAAGTCCCTATTTTAGTCACATTTGTAGAATTGCTACATACCAAAAAGTACTTGGTAATTCTGTTCCCCACTCCTCTTATAACAGGAGCTTTGCCCAGTTCCATTCTGCAATTTCTTTTCCCAATTCATTACCATGAATCTAGGAGAAAGCTGAATTGTGTCTTTTAAACTGCACTGGTCACCAGGCTCATATTTTCAATTGTTGGCTAGCAGGGGCATGAGTAATTGGGAAGCAATTTTGGGGGGAGGAAGGGAGGACTGTATCACACTGAAATTTGACTAAGTTGGTCATGCTGCACAGTGAAGTTAATCCACAGGATGAAAAGTCATATGACTGAAGATGTAACAAAAGCCAGCAGGGACATCAGTGGAGCCTGACTCTGGCTACAGAGGACCATCTGAAGGTATATTATTATGCTAAACGTGAGCTGATTTTTAATTTACAAAGAAATAACTTGTTCGTGGACCCTGAATATTTTCCATAGACCTTTTCAAATTGGTTCATACTTTAATTATAAGGTTTTGCATTCCCATGAGTGAATTATCAAATACACTTTCTCTTTGAAGTCCACATTTTTTTAACAGATAACTTGGAATTCTATTGACCAGTGTTTATTTTTTAGAGAAATAAAACAATTTACTTGAATCTGTCACTTCTTTACTGAGAAATTCTATATTATGAATCATTTCTAGTGGACAACTGGGATTTGAATGCAGGCATTCTTGTTGCCTGTGGTTTATTTACAGTGGAAATGAAACCAAGAAACCCTCAGGGCCTTTAGACCAGTTGATTTTTCTCAGACTTCAGTTTGAATGGTTTATTATTTCTTGAGGAGCTGCAGGGATCACCAGCACCAAAATCAATACTTTGCATTAAGTCTCTGTGTTGTCTTTGGCTATTACCTCACCGAGCTGGTTATTCAAGCCCCCAGAAATAAACTGAGTATGTTGGATCAGATGTTCTGTGTTTGAGATAGAAGCTGTTGAAATCAAATCACCACCCCTCTTCCAACACAGATGCAAGATATATAGTTGAATTGATAGTACAAAAGTTTCCTCCCAGCATTCTATAACTGTAACTTGAGCGAGAGCATTGTTTTCATATTAGCCAATGACTAACTTCAGTATTTGATGGCATGTTAATATTAGCACTTGAAATTGTCCTTCTTTTGGATAAGACACTTGTTTTCAAAAGTAGAAATGTCCCGTGGGAGATGCTGGATACTTTTTGTTTTCTGTAAATATATATATTTTTATAACTTTCTTGGCCTGCAGTTTAATACATTATTGTGCCATATGTCCATGAAATAAACAAGAGAAATTATCAATAGCTAACTTCAGATTTTCTTTTAAGAACCAGATTCTGCTCCCCATTGCTCACATTGGATAGTAGTTTACTCCTTAATTAATCTCGTTTGGATTTGATTAGACTATTTCATGGAGAAATGCGCTACGTAATGGGGGTAGGGGGTCAGAATCTGGGCCAAAATGATCAATTGCCCACAATCCTGTATTTTAAAATTTAAAAAAAAAACCTTACATTTTAATATCAGATCAGAGTGAGAGAAACGCACCTTGTCTCACAGCAAAGTTTAAACATTGCATTCCTGACAACTCCTCCTATTTTCCCATTAGTGTGAAAAATTTGCCCTGAAGTGACCAGTTCCTGTGTCTGTACGTGCAAGTCATGCTGAGCACTTGCTGAGCTACACTGGTCAGCTCTATTGCATTTAAGAGTACAGCTTTGATTAGCTTTTGTGGATGGATGGTGGAGGAAAGAGAAAGATCCATGTGATTTGTCTCTGTACTCTGAGTTGGGACTGATAAATGAGTTCATCTATAACACCAAATAGTCTTTCTGTTTCTGTTCTACTATGTAGCTTGTCAGTATTTTTTTTCTGAGGAAAATATGTTATATTGGATGCCTGACCTTGCCTAGTCACCACTATTAAGCAGCCTGAAATTTATAGGTATGCAACATGTTAAGTACACACCTCAATTTGGGTGTCCAACCTTTTTTTAATCTATACATAAAGTCTACGTTGACACTCTAGCTTAATGTACTGTTAGTTGTATTTGTTCTGATTTTCCATTCTATTACATTCAAATTTATGGATTAGTGAGGATCAAATAAATTGATGTTTGATGCTTCAATTGATTTAATCCAGAAGAAATTACACTTGGTATACAAATCAGCACATGGGATGCTAGTTCGATCTGTAGCAGCTGTTTCACTAATCCTTACAGTTTCCTAATAAATAACCTATTTCAGATTTGTATTTGGTGTCTTGCATTGAATACAGTTATTGCCAGATAAATGGTGAAATTGGTTGTGAATCTACTTGTCTTTTCCTCTATATTGTATTTGTTCTGCTTGGGTGTATTTGAGAAGTTCCATAGTAATACTTTGCCTGCTCAGAAGATGGTACAAATCTTTAATTAAACATCTCAGCACCTGTGAGGGAGGTAAGTGCAAGCATGCTCCTCTTACAGATGGGAAAGCTGAATTATTAGAGAGTAATGATTTGTGCAAAGCTGCAAGCAAAGCGGGTAGCAGTGCCAGGATTCACACTCAGGTGTCCTTGGCACTAATCCACCATGCCATTAACTGTCCTTTCATTTCCTTCACAGTTACACTTGCTATACAAAACCACTTGGGGAACATTGATATACTGTGATGTATTACTTTACGGTTTGCTCAAATATGGCATAGCTTTATAGCCACTGCCTTTCAGTCTCAATTTTTAAAATTCCTGTGTTGATCTTGCATATTCTCTTGGATTTTTTTCTTGTTCCAGTTATAAAACAAAAAACTGACGTGTTTAAATAACCTCTGTTTGGTTCTTTATCTTCGTCCTCTGGGCCAGTTCTTTAATTAGTATCTGTAGTCTTTTATTTCTGAGATTTCAATTCCCTTCCATAGAACTAAGGGATCATAGGAAAAAAAAAGCTGTATAATAAGTGAAAGAGGCCTGGTAATTCATATTAGCCATCTGAAAAAAAAAATCCAGGAAAATACACCTGCTTAAAGGGATTACAGTTCAGTTTTGATTTTTATCAATGACAGGAGTCTTTTAAAGTTATGGGTGCTAATGGATATGTTTGTTTAAGGCATGGCTTGATTTTAGCTTCAAACAATCCAAAATTGAAATTGCAAAATAAAAAAGATGAGGATTAAACCTCTACATTAACTTGGTCCTTCAGTATCTGCTTATCTTTCTCACAGTAGTACTGTGTTTGGATGAGTAGCTTAAAAAGAGTACCATATTAACAACCTTAGCCAATGCACCTTTAAAGACTCTACTGGTTGGCTTAGAGATAACAGTACTGCTCAGAATAGTCTTCTGATGCATTACTGATAGATATAAGTTAAAGCCATAAAACTTGCAGCTTTATCAGGCAATATCTACTAAATCCTGGAAGCATGTAAGATAACCTAAACGTAATCTACTTCATATCAGCTCTTCCAGTGATGGATAGCAAAACAAAAGCAGGACTAATGAAAAATTAATGAAAACAGTTACTTCCATAAGAAAAATGATCTATTTTTCCCACCTTTGTATTGATCTTAACTGGCCCTGTAAATGGAAGTGTATAATTTTATCCTAAGGTAAAGAGGGTTAGGGAGAGCAAGCCTATAATTCTATTCATGTTTGTGACACTTTCAGGCTAAAAAAACCCCAAGCACTTTCCTTAGAATGTTAGTCACCTGTGAATACAGACTTCAGTAATATGTTTTCTACTCAGGCAAACTGCCATGCTGTTTGCCAGACATTGCATGAGCAGTGGACTTTAAGTACTTTTGAAGGCTAATAGGGAAGTACAAAGAAACAATGTTTAGGAAAAATCAAGTATATTCCATATAACTTGGGTATTTAACATGTCTGATGCATTCATATTTATTTCTGACTCATCTTCCCCTTTGTTGGAGAAACATTTTTTTAAAAGACCCATGTCTCTTTTCTGTGAGCAAATCCGTATTCACACCCAAGAATGCTGGCAATCTTTGTATGGCCAAGCTAACTGGGTTAAATTGTTCCTTGCACTAGTTTAAATAGTGAGATCCTCTCACTTCTGTTTTCTTCACACTTTATCGTTGATGCATTTAAACACAGCTGGCTTTTTTATAAAGTGAACAGAACATTGCTGACTTTTTCAAGATACTGTAACATAAATTGATCTGTTCTAATACTTTTCTGTAAATTGTATATTAAGTTATTAAGCCCTCACATATTTAACGTTAATGTGTCCATCAAGCCCTAACAGTGCTGCTGAGGTGATATATCAAAGGGACTGGAATATAGTCAGATTTTGATGGAAAATAAGTGTTTTTAGTACAAAGCTTAGGAAATGTATCTTTCCCATTCCCCATTCTATGTTGTATAGGCCTCTTAATATCTCCTTTGGGGGAGAGTGTTACATACCTACCTGAGTCTGTGCTGTGGTCAGGAGGTGAGAAGGGAGATGTTTCTGCACCTACAGGTAGGTGAGTACTACTTTGTTACCTTTTCCCATTTTCTGGAATCCCCTGACCTGTCTGCCCTTTTGGTCACATACTTGACCCCGTTGCTCTCTTCTTTAGTACACCATGTCAGCCAGGGTGGATTTGATTTAAATCACTAGTCAGGAAGACACAATTTAATCATGGTTTTCTACATAAAAGTGCATTCTTGTTGGTTGTTATAACCTTCATACATATTCTTCACAACTCAGAGATGGATGTAGGTTTCATTTTTAGAAGGTACACACTATATATTTTTAAAGTGATTTATTTTGAAAAGTTTTCAGATTAGTTTTACAGCTATATCAGAAAATGAATGAGTGTTTGGTAATTGAAGCAGATATTTATGAAGTCATTGGGCGGTGACCGATCTCCAATTCAACAGGTTAATCGTTAATATTTGGAGGATTTTCTTGCCATGCTGTATCAGGTGGAGAACATCACCAGACAGACATTTAAATTGTTTTATTTAACTAAAACAACAATGTTACGTATTCTGGGGTTTTTTCTTCAACAGCAAACATATAATATTTTAACAAAACAAGCATATGAATTTTTGAATTTAAACATTCAAGTTTTTTAATATCAGGTTTGTTTTTGTTAAAATTGTTTTTAACTAAAATAGTTAAATGACATTTTTTTTAAAAAAATTAAATTGACTGTGTCAGCCAGGTCAACATGAGAAACTTAAAATACTGGCTTCTGCAGATAACTCAGTCGTCTTCACCTTTATTTTCCTGTTTGTTCATAATCTGGAAAAGAAAATCAAGCTTTCCTGCTTTTTCAGATCCCAAACGATTTCTCAGTTTGGAATGAATTAGTCCAAAGCAAGAAAATATTCTTTTTACACTGGCAGAAGAAGCTACTGCTGATAGAAGTGAGATTATCACTTCAACAGTCTCTGAATCCAAGTGCTTAAGTGACTTCCACCAGTTCCCTGGTGTGACTAACTTTAAAACACCATCAGCAAATGTATATTTCTTGAATGGTTCTTATTCCCAAACTGGGTCTCTTTTACGGCCTGCTGCCATTATAGGTTTTCCCTTCCAGTGAGAGAATGGTATGGTAGATCTCAAATCAATGAAGGCTACACTCAGAAAGACCTCAAGACTTCTGGAATATGCTGCTCAGTTTTCTCACATTTATCTCCGGACTTCTTCTCCTTGTCCAGATCTATTCCGCCCCCAACAATCTGCTAGTCATTGAACTTTTTGAAACTTTGCACTTTTAGAGAGAGGTAAGGGTTTGACTCTGTGTACACAAATTTTCAGAGGGACAATAGGGTTGAGGTCTGTTGTTTCTCACCTCTATATATTATTTATTTAAAAACATTTTTGCTGTTAACAAGAATGTTATCCTGGAGACACAAATCCACAGTTTGAGAACTGCAAAACTAAGCATCTCTGATGGTATCTTCTAGACGGAGTACTGAGTCCCGCTGGGTAGATAAAAAGATTAACCTAAGTAATCTATACAGAAACCCCTAGAACCCCGTAAGATTGGGTCCCTAATCCATGAACTATTGGAACTCATTTACAAAACTTTTCTTAAACGTTACATGAATATATTGTCTCATACTATAAAATTAGAATTTATAATCCCTATTCCATGATGAGATATCTTTGGGCTATAATGTATCTTAATTAAAACTATCTTTAGGTAGGTTTTTTCCTCAAAAAGCATTTTATCAAAAAAATCCGATTTAAATAAAGTCTGAGGTTTATTTTATTTTTTTAAAACCTTGATTTTTATCCACCCTTGTGTCAGCCACATCTTAGGCTGAATGTTTTCTTTGCAATGGCACGACAACAGCTCCAGTAAAGGACACATTGCCTCTTATAGTGAGTTTCATTTAAAACTGGATATTTACCGCACCTCACTGTTTAGCTTTACTCAATTTGTATTACAGAAGCACCAAGAAGACCCAATTGTGCTAGGCCCTCTATAGACAAAAGGTGGCATTCCCTAATCTTAAAATGAAAAATATTGTGGTAAATGACTCTGGATGGTAAGTGTCTAGTTTTTAATGGTGCCCACTGTCTATGAGGTATATCGCTTGGTGATAGCTAATCCAGTGGAGATCTGAACAGGGAAGTGTCAAGATCACAACATGAACAGTAAAAATTACCCATAATTCACCATCAGCACAACCTCATGGTAGCAATGATGGATACATTAGTGTAGACAGGGCTCAGGAATTTATACCATTGTGACATCTAATGCACCAGGACAGTAACACCAAAGCACTGCTTATGCCAATGTGTCTGTCAGGGTGCTCAAAGCATGACAGCCACTTCATGGACAGTAAATAAAAATAGGGTGACCATACATCCCATTTTGGCCAGGACAGTCCCCTTTTTAAGCGCTGTCCCAGATGTCACAACTTTTTTTGGCAAAACTTGGCATTTGTCCTGTTTTCTCTGATGATCAGTTGGCAAGAGCAAACAGAATAAACGCCCACTTTTTACAAAAATAGTGGGGTGCACCCCCCCCCACCAACTGGGCACAAAGGAATTTTCAGGAAGGGAGGGGAGCGGCTCAGGCCCGCCCTGCACTGTGTCCCGTTTTCACTTTGAGAAATATGGTCACCCTAAATGAAGAAATACTTCCTGCCTCAAAGAGCTTACAACACAAGGGTGGGAAGATAGCGAGGTTACACAGACACACACACTGTACATGAGTGTCTACTTGGTCCTCACTGTGGGTCCAGACAAGATTCAGTGCCATGCATCCATTGCACAGTGCTGTGAAGCAACACTTTACATGAGCAAATTGC